GTTTATCTTTATAGCTTTATAACCACGCTATTCACATTCTTCTTAATTTTGCTTTACAAGCGACATGAAGAATGTGATGTTCTAAAAAATCTCCATACAACATGCAGTTTAATCACATCTTATTTATTACAAGTGACTTATCATTGGTTGGCTCGGAATATCTATGTACGTTTTAATATTTTTGAGTGGAACTCTTATTCGTTTTCTAAAATAAAAGTAGACTAAGTTACACCTTATAACATCAGCTATTTGCCAATGAAAGTCCCGTCAAAATCGCTCCAGCCGTTATTGATATTAGCCGTAACAAACAGATTGACAAACAAAATTTTCAAAATTTTGTTTTTCTTATTAGTACCGTATGTATTCAGCCCTTTTTAACGTCCCACTGCTGGGCACGGGCCTCCCTTCAATACGAGGGGGATCATGGCATAGTCCACCACGCTGGCCAAGTGCGAGTTGACGGACTTCACGTGTCTTTCGAAAACTTGCTAGGTTTTCTCAGATATACAAGTTTCCTCACGATGTTTTTCTTCATTGTAAGGCAAGTGGTAATCATGTCAGAAATTATTCGCACATGAAAATATTAGAGGTGCGAGACCCGGGATTTGAACCCGCTTCACTCGATTTCCCAAGCGAGCGCGTTACCACTGGGCTACCACTGCCTTATCCTTTATAAGTACCGTATATAATTTCATATGTATAGGTATTTAGTAAAAAACTGCTATTTTGACATCACAAACAGACATTTCAATTTTATTTAACTGTAGGTATAGATAATAATTTTGTACATCGCCATATTCTTATCGAGGTCTTAGTGCGAATTCTTCTTGAACATTCTATTTGATTCCGACTCCAATTCCGATTGCCGAAAACAACTGTCGCAATAATTATTTCAAGGTTAATCATTTTAAATTGTCTGACCTCTAGAATTAAATGGCAAGATGTTTTGTATATGAAATTATTACGTTTTAGAATCGAATGTTGAAATAATATATAGAACAGCAATCTAACAAATTTCTAAAATTGGTTAAGTGCGATTCAGTCTCTCTATCTATATTATTTATTATATTTTAAGAATACTCATGAAGTTCATCGCTGTATGTATAAGGTAAATATTTTTTTTTGACGACACGTTTGGCTCAATGTGTAGTGAGACTGTGCCAGCGGTCGCGGGTTCAAGTCTCGCTGGGGGCATTCATTGTGTGATGAGCACGAATGCTTGTACTCCAGTCATAGGTGTTTATATTTATAATATGTATGTATTTAAAGTTTATATATGTGTAGTGTATCAACTATCTGATATCCATAACACAAGCCTCGTAGCTTACCATGGAACTAGATGGTGCTGTGTATTAATGTCCTACATATTTATTTATTTTATTTATTTAATTCTGTGATGTATGAGGGTAGATTTGTTTATGTGGATTACATTGTAGGTGTAATTAATTTGTACTCTCATTGTGAAATAAACGGTCAACGAAGTACGTGCGTTTCCTTTGTCCCCGGCTGCATTATTGTGTATAGTTCTCATAGGCATTCAAATATATCTCAGTGGCGACGATTGAACTTACGTGTGCACTGTGCATATTATAAATAAAAAAAATAAAAAAAATGTCGATTGGTAAAATAGCGGAATTTAATATACGGACGGACAATTGGCGGTTATATGTGGAGCGTCTAGAACAATATTTTATTGTTAATAAAATAACAAGTGAGCTAAAAGTGCCAACGTTAATCACCGTAGTTGGATTAGAGTGTTATGAACTATTGGTGGACTTGTGTACTCCCGACAAGCCGTCATCGAAAACGTTCGAACAGTTAACGAATGTTCTAGAAAAACATTTACAACCCAAGCCGAGTATTTTGGCGGAACGATTTAAATTTCGACATAGGGAAGCAAATGAGCAGTGAAACAGTGGCGGAATATATCGCTGTGTTAAAAAAACTTTCTAAAAACATGTGAGTTCGGGGCGTGGTTGCAAGAAAGCCTTAGAGATCAATTTGTTTGCGGAATACAGTGTGAAGCGATACGGCAACGGCTATTTCAAGAGGATGACCTTGATTTCTCGAAAGCGTATCGCCTGGCGATTAGTATGGAGGCGGCTGAAAAGGATGCAGCGGTAGTGGGGAGAGCCATGCTGAGGGGCCGGGGGTGGAGTACCGGCGATGACGACGGTGTGTCAGGCGGCAGTAGCGGCGGCGGGGAGATCGTCGGCCGCGGGCGGTACGGCCGGCCGGCGCGGGCGGTCGGCGGCGGCAGCGGAGACATCGCGGCACCAGGCGGCCGTCGGGGCGCGCTGTCGCGCTTGTGGTGGCCAGCACGTTAGGGTACCGTGCAGATTTGCGCGCTATGTGTGCAGAGCGTGCAAGCAACAAGGTCATCTGCAGCGCGTCTGTCCTAATGTGAAGGGAGCTTATAACATCGAGACGGGGAGTACGACGATTAGCGGCGGACGACTTCAGACAGCGAAGAGAGTGACGAGGTAATAGTAGTTGAACTTAACCAATTAGCCTTAGAACTTTGTAAACCATTCATGGTGACATTAGATGTTCAAAATAAAGCTATCTCGATGGAATGTGATACGGGTAGTGCAGTGTCATGCATAAGTCATGAATTTTATAAAAAATATTTATATGATTTAAAATTAGAAGAGTGTAGATTAATTTTAAAATATTATACGGGGGAGACAGTGCGCCCTGTGGGGGTCATTAGACCTCTAGTTAGATACCGCGGGCAAGAAAAATATTTAGATCTGTACGTTGTGCGCGATGCTTAAGTCTGCTTTATTGGGTAGACAATGGTTATTGGAATTAAAACATAAAATTGCCTAAACTCAAAGTTGATACAATGAATTAATATAACCGATAATAATTTTAATTTCAATGATTTCAGTTCCAAATATTGTGAAGTATATTTGCGGAGGGCCTGGGGACGGTTCACCGGCGGCCGCGGCGAGCATTCACATACGGGAGGGAGCGCGGCCGGTGTTCATGCGTGCGCGTCCCCTGGCGTACGCTCTGCGCGGGCCGGTGGAGCGCGCGCTTGACCAGATGGTGCGCGATGGCATCCTCACACCCGTTGAGCGCTCTGACTGGGCCACACCGATAGTGCCAGTTATGAAGAAAGACGGTAATGTACGGATTTGTGCTGATTACAAATTAACTCTCAATAAGGTAATTGAGATTGACCGTTACCCGCTACCTCGCACGGAAGACTTGCTCGCACGGTTACATGGAGGCGAGCTGTTCACTAAAATAGACCTGTCACAGGCCTACGCACAGATTGAATTAGACGAGAGTAAGAAATATACGGTAATTAATACGCACAAAGGACTTTTTTATGTTTAATCGTTTAGTATTCGGCCTATCGTCTAGCCCAGGTATTTTTTCAAAGCGTTTAGAGCAATTATTTGCCGATTTACCATATGTAGGAGTATTTTTGGATGATATTATAATTACTGGACGGAATAATCTAGAACATATAAAGAATTTACATAAAGTATTTGAACGTTTGAAAATTAGTGGATTAAAAGTAAAGAAAGAAAAATGTGAGTTTTTCCAGGAATCGATCTCTTACCTAGGGCATGTTATTAACAAACGTGGTATACATACTAATCCGGAAAAGGTTAAGGCGATTGTTAACACTCCCGCACCCACGACGGTATCTGAGCTGAGATCTTTCATAGGTATGGTCATGTATTACGCTAAATTTATTAAAAACGTAAGTACTATCTTAGCACCGCTATACAATTTACTTCGGGCTAATGTTAAATTCATATGGAGTGAAGAATGTAAAAGGGCCTTTCCGTATAATTAAAGAAAAAATTAAGTTTCGAGCGAAGTATTGGTGCATTACTCGAGCGACTTGCCGCTAATACTGACGGCAGACGCGAGCGGCGTAGGGGTAGGCGCCGTCATCTCACACAGTACTCCCGAGGGCGAACGGCCGATAGCTTATGCTTCGCGCTCATTAACGGCAGCTGAACGGGCGTATTCACAGATAGATAGGGAAGCTCTAGGAATAATATATGGAATTAGAAAGTTTCATCAATATCTTTACGGTCGGCATTTTACATTAAGAACAGATCATAAACCACTAAACATATATTTTTGGTACTAAAGCAGGAATTCCAATTATGGCGGCGTCGCGGTTGCAAAGGTGGGCCGTTTTGTTATCGGGATATAATTATGCGATAGAGTACGTCTCGTCACAGAAAAATTGTGCGGATGCATTATCTAGACTGCCCCAGACTAGTGCCACGGATCACGTGATTAAAGAAAATACGTATTTAAATTTTGTAGAGACGTTTATGCCCCGTAACGAATGATGATATAAGAACGGCTACTAGTAGGGACACATTACTAAGTAAAATAATTTTTATACGTTCATTCTGGATGGCCTTTAACCTGTCCAGAGGGGGAAGAATACAAGCCATACTATAGTAAGCGTAACGAAATATATATAGATCGAGGATGTTTAATGTGGGGCTATAGGGTTATCGTACCAGCAGGATTACGTAGTATAGTATATTGAAGCAGCTTCATGCAAGTCACATGGGCATTGTCAAAACTAAAGGTATATAGCGAGGAGTTATGTATTGGTGGCCGAACATAGATTGTTGACGTTGAAGCCGTATGCAGCATGCGACACGTGCGCGGCGGAGGCCCAGCACCTCCACGTGCTCCCCCCCAAGTCCTTGGACTTACGATTTCGCGTCCTTAGGAGGTTTCCATTTAGATTTTCTAGGTCCTTTAGGTGGTTAAAACGTTCCAATAAATGGCTTTTATTTCAGTCAAGCTATAAGGCAACTTTTTGCACGTTTCGGCTTGGTAAATCGTGTCGGATCGATCCCCTTAATATTAAATAGATTCAGGGATTTTCTTAATAAAGAATGGCGTGTTCGGTAATTCACTTCTTTTCACCGGCTTTATCGACGGCATCGTGGTGGCCGAGGGCCCCCCTTTTACGAGTCTTGAGTTCAGGGATTTCTTAATAAAGAATGGGTGTCCGTCAAATCGTTTTTCACCGGTTTATCACCCGGCATCAAATGTGGGCCGCGGAAAACGCAGTGAAGCTATGCAAGCGAGTAATAAAAGGCATGCGGGAGTCAATCGATGTAGACGCTGCACTGCAAACTTTTCTTTTGTCATATCGAAATAGCGTCCATAGTAGTACCGGCGAAAGCCCTTCCATGTTGCTTCAACGGCGCGCGCTCCGTTCTCGGTTAGATCTCCTGAGAGGTGAGCGTGCCCGCGAGGACAGCGTGCGGGATGCGCAAGCACGCCAAGTTCAATACGCAGGCGGCGTGCCGCGCGATTTGCAATTAGGAGACCAAGTTATGGCTAGGGGCTATGGCGGTAAAGATAAATGGCTAGACGGTACGGTGATAGGTAGAGAGGGTTCACAAAGGTACATTGTAGAAAGCGGTAACGGTCAAAGGTTTCACAGACATATTGATCAAATAAAGCGCAAATCCCGTTATTCGGTTCGCGATGAGCTCAGCAAGTGATAAGGAGGTCGTCGCGCAGCCAGATGAGAAAGAGAGCTTAGAATTAAATACTGAAAGTGCAGGAAGTCGAATTTGTAGGGAGGGAGGAAGGATAAGAGTATGACTGATAAACGGCAGAGGATCCTTTACTTATTGATTTCTTGTCCCTCAAGTAGTTGCTCGCCTCCGTCACCGCTGGACCGTCCCAAGCGCCAAAGAAAACTGGTTGTGAGATATGGAATAGATACCTAGGTCGAATGTACATATATGAAAATATTGTATCCTAAGTGGAATAATATATATATTATATATGTATGTATAGATAATGTTGAGTTATCAAATGTTTTTTGTTATTGAGTTAATAAGAATTAGCATCTTATGTATATATAATAGTTTATTTAATATGTATGTATATAGGCAAATTAAATGGATATTTTAAATATTAGAAGTTCTTGGTCGGTTATCTAAAACGTTAAAGAAATTAGAATATTGTGTCTATTATTTAAGTATTTCTTCTTGTGATTTATATGTATTCTCTAGATGTACTTAGAATTTTTTTTAGTTGTAATTTAAGTAGAGAGGTGTGATGTATGAGGGTAGATTTGTTTATGTGGATTACATTGTAGGTGTAATTAATTTGTACTCTCATTGTGAAATAAACGGTCAACGAAGTACGTGCGTTTCCTTTGTCCCCGGCTGCATTATTGTGTATAGTTCTCATAGGCATTCAAATATATCTCAAATTCATTTTCAATTTTAAACTTTAAAAATCCCCTTAAGCCTTAGGAATGGATTTAAAAAAATCATAAATTTGTGGTCTCTTGAGGTAATTAATAAAAAAATATAAAAATCGATTTATAATTGGAGATGTCCCGTAACATTCACACAAATATGCACCCGAAAGTAACTACTTTCTTCCTCCTTTTTAAAGGGAATAAGCCTATATCCTATATCCTATATAGCCTATATCCTATAATACTTTCTTAGATTTACGCGAATGTTTGACATTATTAAATCAAACTATCTTTTCGGATTATCTCGCGGATTTATTTTGATTTTTGGTTCCCGACGTTTCGAATGCTTTACAGCATCCATGGTCACGGGAGAGACTGAGGTGTTACATGTCTCAAAGATATAGTTGTTACAGACAGCCTACCCACAATCAACAAAATGAAAATTGCACCAATTACATTACAATATTTTAACTTTAAACATTTTTATAATTTTAATTATAATTGAATATGGAAAATTATTTATTTAAGTTTTGCTATTATTTTTATAAATATTACAATTTTAAAAATATTAATTAGTAATCTATATTTAGTGTTGCCATTATTATATTTATAACCATAAAGAAAAATATAAAATATAGTATTAATTATTTAAGCCATATAATTGTTCAATGTGTAATTTAAAAAAGTTAAAATTAATTAAGGATTATAATTTTAATTTAGTTTGCTATTATTTAAAAACAACTTACTAAGCAACACTATTAATATATACTTTTACAAATGAAAAATGAAAAATATTAATCTGATAAGCTGTCATTTTGATCTACACAGTATGAACTTACTACATCTGCCTGTCTGTTATGTTTATATTTATTATTTGATTTTATTATATTAATAACAGGATCCCATGACGATGGTAGTACCCAGCCATCTTCCCTATCGAAATTAGGATGTTTTTTAATTTCTATGGCTTCTCGAATCATTCTAGGGCGATATCAGTTTTCTTTCGCCAGGATTTGAGGTCTATCGAAACGAATATAATGGCTCCTATAAGGCCTATATCCTATACTATCTTCAGGAATCTTAGATTTAGGCCTAGTCTTTGACATTATTTAAGGATACTAGTACATTTTCTAACTTATCTTTATATTTTGTAACTAGTATACCATTAAAAATTATAAAATTGAGATTACTTACTTACTTTCTAGCCTTTTCACACTTTTTTACTCTATATAAAACTTTTTCCATCCAGTACTTAAATAAGTAGAAAAAAATACATTTCGAAAGAATAACAATAGACAGATAGAATGGTTCCTGTGTGTGTGAGTTTCGTAAACCGTAAAAAAACAATCTATACATATAATAAAATTCTGAGTCGAATCTGTAAATTAAATATTTTTTGGAAAATCTTATTGAAATAGCCATTATCATCTATACAAAGGCCGAATCTATTATTTGCCTGTCTGTCTGTCTGGGAACGCATCACAGAAAAACCACTGGAGGGATTTTGATGCAATTTGGTATGGTGATAGCTGGTTATCCGGGTCAACATATAGGATACTTTTACTTTAAAGTACAAAAACCGCATTGTAAGAATATACTAATACGTAAAACCTAAGAATTTGATTTTTGGTCATCTGAACGCGGGCGGAACCGCGGGCAATGCTAGGTAAAATGAATCTTTGTTTTTAAAATTAAAAAAAATCTGTGTAAGTACATTTCGTATCTCATGCAAAACCGCGTGCAGTAAATAGCATTCACATAAAAATATTACGTGACAACCGACGACCCCGAGCTGGAATGTTAAATATTTTTATTGGTATTTATGTGGGACGCAGGCGCCGACAAAAATAAGAACGTACATAGGTAAATATAGTTCATAACTTCCGTTCCAGTGTCTCGGTTATATCATATACTAGCATTGCCCGCGGCTCCGCCCGCGTTCAGATGACCAAAAACCAAATTCTTAGGTTTTACATACTAGTATACTCTTACATTGCAGTTTTTGTGTTTTTTTCTGAAACGAGATATTTTCTCTCGGTAAAAAGTATCCTATATGTTGACCCGGATAACCAGCTATTATCATACAAAATTTTATCAAAATCCCTCCAGTGGTTTTTCCGTGATGCGGTAACAGACAGACAGACAGAGAGGCAAAAATTCTAAAAACTAGATTCGACCTGTGTATCGACAATAATGTCTATTTCAATAAGATTTTCCAAAAAATATATTTTAATGTAAAGGTTTTTGTGTTATATACTGTCTGTAACAAATAACGCCTTTGAGACGTCTGAAACCTCCTAAGTTCCTCCTAAGTCTCACCCGAGACCATGATTGCTGTAAAGAATTCGAAACGTGGGGAACTAAAAATCCAAATTAATCTGCGAAATAATCCGAAAACATAGTTTTATTTATAACTTCCATGTTGTTATTATTATTATTTTTTTGGGTAAAGACAAGGAAATGACTCATCAAAATCATCAGTATTATATACCTATTAGAAACTTTTTAAAAGAACACTTATGAATTAATTAATTGTATTGTCGTGATTTGAAACGACTGTTTTTATGAAAAAAAAGGTTCATCTTACAGCAAATTGAGGTAAATCCTTAATCAAAGTAATTTGTCCTAACTAATCTATTAACGCCCAAAAAGCCTTGAAGCTGAAGTGCTGTAATTTTGACAGCCTATTCCTGTAATGCCAATTGCCATTCTAATAAATTATTTTTTTAAATGTTATTTTTGTATGGCTTCACTTTTTAATAAGAAACTATCGAGAATGACGTCAAGACTGGACATCTGATATTCTTCATTTTTATACTATACTATTACTAATATTGTTAGTTAAAATAGTGGTAGTAAAGTGGTAACGTTCTCGCTTGGGATACCAAGTGAAGCGGGTTCAAATCCCGGGTCTCGCACCTGTGTCATTACCATATGTGTCCTTTGAAGGAAAACATTGTGTTGAAGCATACATATCTGAGAGAACTTAAGAAGTTTTCGTAAGACTTGTGAAGTCTGCCAGCTCGGAAAGATTGTGGCGTGATCTCCCATAACCCATTCGATCGCAGATCGCCTTGAAAGGAGGCCCGTGCCCAGCAGTGGGATTTTAAAAATGCCTGAATACATCCAAAATACATACATTATTAGTGCAAATAAGTTTTTGATCATAATCCGACTTCACATAAAGAAAAAGGCATAGCTACCTTAATCCCGAAGGAACATTAAGTAAATAAAAAATTAATCATACGTTCCGAAAAAAACTCATTATCTTACTGATGATTCAAAACAAAAATATACGTGTCGAACCTCTTCCTTTTTTCCGTCGGTTAAAAAATCAGCCATTACGTTATGAGTTTACATTACTTATTCATTGATATCACTGTTATAAGTCACGCATTTAAACTGCCTCGGTGGTGTAGTGGCTAGCAAGTACGGCTGCACATTTGGGGATCCTGGGTTCGAGTCCCGGGTCAGGCCAAGTTTAGTTATTAAGTCTTTCTGTATAGAAGTAAGTCTCAGTAACAGCCCGGAGTTGGGAAGTTGGCGGTATTTCACCCCCGTGCCTCGGAGAGCACGTAAAGCCGTCGGTCCTGCGCCTTAACTTTCACTGGTCGTGTCGAGCAGTCGTCCCACCGGAGTATGAGAGTGACAGGAATAGAGAGTGCACGTTGTGTCTGCGCGTACACTTGTGCACTATAATATCTCCTGCGCAGTTGGCTAGTCTCAATGAGATTGGCCGCCGTAGCCGGAATCGGTCAGGAGAACATCATAAGTCACGCAATTATGTGTATAGTCCAGTTTCAAAACTACGCCATTGATACAAATCGTCAATTTAAGCGAAAATAAAACCAGAATTAGGGGCAATTTTCTTCTTATTTAATCTGTGTTTGAACTAATTTGTTTCAAAACTTGTATTACAAATAAAACCTTAGATACTTAACATGTGAACTGTGACCTAAAAAACTAACCGAGTTTTTCCCATTATTCACCATCTATCAATCCACTTGACGCCTCGCCAAAGTTACCCATTCGTACACTTTTAAACGTTAGCATAATCTAGTCCTGTTAAATGCTGACATTATTGAGTCAGTTGAAAAAAAAAATTTGAACGTTTTATCTGGAATTCATGTCTTCAAACCTTGAATGAACAACAATAACAAATGACCTAAAATACGAGGTCAATGTACCTTGCAGAGATTTAAGAGACTTCCCAAATCGTCCGTGTTTCTTTGTAACTTGCTCGTACGGGACGGATTAAATGAATAGGTGCTTTTGAGGTTGTCCCATTTTCATCTCCAGCTTTTCTATAGACTGAGCCAGAAAATGTTTAGTTGTAATTATAAAGGATAAGTCATTTTGCAAACAGAACTTTACTTAATCTTCAAACATACAGACATAACGTTACGACATTGACGACGCGTGTGGTTCAATTTGTAGTGACCCTACTTGCTGTGCCAGCGGTCGCGGGTTCGAGTCCCGCTCGGGGAATTCATTTGTGTGATGAGGACGAATGTTTGTACTCCAGTCATGGGTGTTTATATTTATAATATGTATGTATTTAAAGTTATATATGTATAGTGTATCAATTATCTGGTATCCATAACACAAGCCTCGTAGCTTTTCATGGAACTAGATGGTGCTGTGTGTCAAAGTCCCAAAAAAAAACATACAAACTTTATTATATATAGTAACTAACGGCTCACCTTCGCTAGGGAAAAATAAATACAAATCTATCTCACGGGAACCGCACATTTTTCCGGGACAAAAGCTATATATAAATATGCTATTCCAAACTATAATCTATCTCTGTGCCAAATTTCATCCAGATCCGTTCAGCCGTTCTGACGTGATTGAGTAACAAACATCCAAACATCTAAACTTTCACAGTTATAATATTAGTAAGATAAAATTCCGATAGCATAACTAAAGCTTATAAAGTAAATAAATATCACAGAAAATAAATTGTGACTTCTATAAATATTGTTTAAAAATCATTTCCTCTTTTGCATCTTACGATGTTTTTATTATGTCTTTGTTTAAATATTTAATCGATTATTTGATTGATCTATAAGTGAGTTAACTATTTTTATAAAGTGTTTGTTAATTATTTTTTAATTAATAATGCCACTTTGAGATATATCTTGCCACAATACAATGATTTTATTATACTGGCAACCAACTTTTAGTTTTTTATTATACTGTTTTTTTTAAATCAAATAACTATGTAGGTTTGTTTTAAATACTTGAAAAATAAAATACACTTGATTATTTAATTGACTTTCTAAAAGTTTTTTTTAATGACGGAGTTGTCATTATAAAAACTGACGTCGTCGTTACCGATGAGTAGTAAAGTAAATTTTATTCCATGTGTTACATATTATTATTCTTAGAAACTACAAATAAAAACTTCGTAAAAGAAAGAAATTAAAAATATTTCTCGTAGTTCACTTAATGATTTATAATACTATCAATGCGCCTCAAAAATAGATATGAATCTATTGATAGATTTAAATCTGAAATATTTTCCTTATTATGTGTGATTTAGTGGGATCCGCTGGCCGGGTGCCAAGTGGGGAATTACTGGGGAGCTGAAAACTGCAGCCAACTGACATACATTGATTTTAATTGCTCTAATTATGCAGTTTTTCATCACTTGAAGGATATTTTCAAATTAAAAAAACCTAAAAACAGTACCTATCTAATATCTTACAAAAATTATAAGTGTGTGTATGTTTGAATGTTTGTTACTCAATCACGCCTGAATCACGACTGAACAGATCTTGATGAAATTTTGCAAAGAGATGGATTATAAATTTGAAATAGTACATAGACAAAATGAAATAGTTCATCCCGGAAAATACACGGTTCCCGTGGGATAGATTTGTTTTTTCAACCCAAGTAAAGCGAGAGTGAGCCACTAGTATACTAGGTAGGTATATACGATGCTACTTGTAGTATAAATAGTGTTGATAACATTCATTAAGTGAAATAATTCAATTAATCCCGAGTAAAAACAATTCATTTCCATAAATAAATAATATAACCATTCACGTGACTTCAGTATTTTTTTATTAAGAAAGGTTCAGATAATAAGAAACCATAAAATTGTCTCACGAAAATTTGTAACATCGTAAGCTGGTAGCGAGACCGCGCATTCAACATTTGGCGAATTTTATGCCCATCTCTATTTAGGCAGCGATACTGGCGAAGGCAATCGATCGACCACAACACGCTAACACGATAAATTACTTTTTACGCTCACTCCATACAATTTTCGAAGAAAGCAGTGCATGATTTGCAGACAGTCTGTTCAAATCACTACCGCCGCTCGCTCGTGGAAACGTTTCGATCGAATTTCTTAACATTTTTTACAAACTGGCATCAATAGATAAACGCTCTGATATTCCGTTAAGAGCCAAAAGTGTCTGCTTAGCAGAAAGACCAAAATCACAGCATGGGCGCAATATTCGAAGTGCAGATGCCTTACGCTGTCGGTATTCTGCAAAAGAATATTTTCATAGGCAACCCCCAAAAGAAAAAAGTAAACGACAAATTAAAACTAATAATGTAATCGTAAAAGATTTAAAACGAAAAATAATAGAGAAAAAACCGTGCGCTGTCTCCGTACAGACATTATCAATACCTATGACTTACGCGGATAATTCTAAGTCAATAAGCCATTCAACCTCTAAGCATAACATAAATTGTAATTCAAAACCTATCGATAATAGAACTAAGTCTTCTAATGTTAAACAGGCCGGTGAGAAGAAGCTGTGTCAAAGGGTCGGCGGAAGGGAGACGGAAAATAAGTTACTACTGCAGATAAGCGAAGCCGAACAAGTGTCGGACTTTGAAAGGATTCTTAATTCTAATGCAATACTGTGGGAGCGCACTCGTGGGCACGTGTGGCGAGGCAGCGTCGCTGCTCATACCTCTTCGGCATCACTTCTCTCGAGACCACGTTCATCTTACTCTCTACGAACTGTAAGTCAGGCTTACAACACGCTTTTCCGCCAGCACGAAGAATCCCTTCAAAGCCTCATCGACCGATATCGTCAAGAAACAGAGGAACACAAAAATGCAACTTCGAGCTTACTAGAAAACAATTGGTACGAAAATCTTCAAGGTCTTTCCGAATTTTATGAGGACGATCAAACTTTACAGAAAGAAATCGAAACAATCACTGATCGAATAATAGCAGAGGAAGTGCGTAATGGTGAGGGTGGCCAAACGACTAGGCGGAGCAATTTTAATGTCAACTTAGCCGGTCTAATTGGCTTACAAGTGAACGGGGACGGTGTGTCTCCAACCTTTCGTGACGACCCATCGCCAGAAATAGAAAGACTTGATACTAGCGATGAAAAGGAATGGCTTGCCCCGAGTATGAGTGCAAATTGTAAAGAAAAATACTTACAGGACAATAGCGAATCCGGCATTGATTGCTTGGCGCAAAATTTAAATACGATCCAAATTGATTGCGATGGGAATGTTCCTATGATAACATTTAGCAATTGTTGTGAAGGTCGTTCGCAGGCTGACAATCCGAACAATTCAGACGTGGTTATTCATCTTGCCGTGCCCTCGATTGATAACGTTGACGAGGCGCGACCGCCTATGTGATTGGCATTGAACCGTCCGATTAAATCGTTACACAATCCGAACGAGTTTAATTAACGCTTGTTAGAATTAATTGAGGAAAATGATCGCCATAGAATCGGAACAGCCGATGGTGAAGGATGATCGAGTACCTAAAGTTGAACCGACAACTTCACAGAGAACTCTAACTAGATCGAGCGCCGTGAGCCAGAAATCAGTTGATTTAATGGTTCACCCTGAAAGCTCTAATAACCCTCTACACAGATCAAAATTAGCTCCAACCAGATCGTCCTCAGAATCGTCTTCAGGTAAAAAAGTGATTAATTTGAGAAAGACAAAGAATTCGTCGATAGAGTCTACTATGAGCTTACCAAATCAAAAATCATTGGAAAAGAAACATGGCAGTCTCAGGCACCAGAAATCTATTGGAGCCCATTCTGATATAACGTTGAGCACACAGCCTTCAATTTCAGACGACAGGAAAGCGCTCAGAGAGGCCTTGTATCAGGGTATATTTCATAGGCACAGACGGACAATTTTTGCTGTGGGCTCATTCCTTAGGATGCTTAGAAGCAAAACGTCCAATTACGATTCCATAAGATCGGATTCGGACGAAATTTAGCAGCCGTAAGCGTAACTTAGTGATTGTTAAGGTAGTGATACCACAGACTGCGAACGTGCTTTTTAAATAATACAATGTTATTAGATTTAGTAATTTGTAATATTCTTATTTTATATTAAAATGTTCCATATTTGTTTTGAAGAGGTTTTTATTGATGTCACGAACCCCGCTTGCGTCCCGTGTTAATTCATATGTAGGCATGCTTGTAACGAATGTTTGACCTTCGACATTATCTCGCTTTGAAGAAATTTTCATTACTTGGCCAAGTTCAGAATAAAAGAAGATATTTTTGAAATGAAATACTTTGTTTAAAAACTTATATTAATAAACATATAAATATTATTCATGCACAAAATTACAGTAACAATTCTGCAATAAACTTATACTCGGTATTCGGCCAAATACCAAATATACGTTGCAAGCTTATAAGTTACCTGTATTAAACATAATCGATATGAGTGTGCCAAAAAATTGATTTATGTAGATTCGTTTTATCTTATCTTCACCGTACTCTGCTACAGAAATCTTAAAGAAAATTTAGTGTAGTTACAAACTGATGGTTATCTGTTGTAGTACTGCTATTTCGCGTGACAATACTCGAGGACAAATTATGTTCCTGATTACCTTGTCTTTACAATACGTAAGCATGGTTGTTAAAATCTCATTTTCAACAAAATTGTTTTTGGTGGTGCCGAAATAGATGTAAGCCGAATTTATTGATAGATTTTTAGAATGTTAAAGTGTTAAAAAAATATTATTTTCTGCTTTTATAATATGCTTTTTGTTTAATAAATTGTAAATGTATTAAGTTAGATTTTAGCTTTATTATGTAAAATGTTTTGGCGAAACGTGATCCTATAATATTAAACGAACTTAGAGCTTAAAATTGTATGTAGTGTTAATGTACACATTATTATAGGTTTATTTAGTTTTTTTTATACAGTTAACACTGTTTTATGTTAAATTAATGGGAATTATTTAACAATCACAAATACAAAAAAAAAACAAAAATCGATTTCAGAGAGTACTCGATCCTTTAAAAGTAAGGGACCATATCTTCAAGACAGATTCGGTCTTTCGGAAGCCAAAAACAGTGTTGCTATATAAAAAAATATATATTTTAATTAGTAGTTTTTATATTGTTTGCAAAATCGTGATTTATATTTAAAATATCGTGTAGCGTATTGCTGAGGATTGTTGAGACACATTTTTGGAACATTTTATGCACTTTTTATATATTTGTACATCTGAAAATTTTGTATACCATGCTGTTGTGAAAATAATTTTAGTATGTATATAAAAATTGCTTCTACACTGTTATCGAGAGTATTTTTTCGCATTTACAACAAAGGCTTATATACACTAAATTAAGGAATTATGTTGCTGAATGAATTTTGATAAAACATCAAAAGTAAGCTAAATCAGCTTCATGCCTTCGAAATCACCAAATACTTTGCCATATTAATAAGATGTCCACAGAGCATTATTAAAGATGGATCGTAGTAAGATTTTCAATGAAAATAATAACTCATTTTAATTTAATGAATGAATTTTGTTGAGTCATTTTTCTATAACAACCTACATATATAGCGAGGCTCCATATATAGCTAGGTACACAAAAACAAACCTATCCCACGGGAACCGTACATTTTTCCGGGATAAAAATCTTATGTATTATTCCAGACCATAATCTACCTTTTTGCCAAATTTCATCCAAATCCGTTCAGCCGTTCTGGCGTGAAAGAGTAACAAACATCCATACTCACAAACTTTTACAAGAGATTAGTAGATAGATTCAGCTCAGACCTTTACTTGACGTCGATATTGACGTTGCTTATAATCCCGGATTATCGCTATTTTGTCAATACTTCTTACTTCAAAGCCGCTTTAAGTGGAACAGACTGCCCTTTTGTAAAACTTGTAACCATATCCATACTAATATAAAAATTAAAAATGTTAGTCTGTTTGCTTGTATCATGTTCATGCTTAAATTGCTAAACAAGTTTTGATGCAATTTGGCAGTCTTTTATCCCCACCTCGTTTACCATGCGAGCGTAATCACGCCCAAAAAATGGTTTATAATAAATGTTACGTAGATGAGAATTTTTATCGACTAAATTACATAGATATATCAAATTGCGTATGTTATGGTATATATTTAGTATATGATCCAATGAAATCTTACTACGTCTCCAGACAGCTGTATAAAATTACTGCTTTTTACACTCTAGCTAAAGATTTCTGTCAATAATACATTTTTAGATTTTTTTAGTTATATTCGCCTCTATGTACTATTATATATTGTATAACATCTACGTATAATTTATACATGTATATATAATTAAATGAGTCATGTTTTTATTAACTTTCATAGCTTTTTACTAAATTATGAGTAGATTGTCGTAAAATGGCATTTTTAATTGGAATTCCCATGGATATACGTAAACAATTGTAATGTTATAATTTTATTAGTCTGACCGTCTGTATGAAGCTTGTATGGGTTTGATATTGCATGAAATTATCATATAAGAATAAAAATTGTATGGCGGTAAGTCATGGATTGTTTTAAATAAGGAACCAAGTAAATAAGTTTAACACGCGGTAAGTTGTTTTTTAGATTTTTAATGTAAACGTTTAATTTGAACATTCCTACTGATAAAAAACACTGTCCGAAATGAATTTAGAAAAAAAGACTGCATAATATTAAAATATAGCAGATTAAAAAAAAAATTAAATACTCGTCTGTAAAGGTTTCCGTTTGAAAAACTTACCGGTTAAATTAAATTGTTTTTATTAATAATGTTTTTTATTAAGCACCCTGTTTTTGAGGTAAATTTTAGTATTATTTTTAACCGATTTCCAAAAAGGAGGAGGTTCACAATTGGTCGGAATAAAATTTTTTTACTAGCGTCTATCTCGCTTCGCTTCGGTGTGTTTCTGCCTGCGCATCATGAAACAGCTGAACAGATTTGGATGAATTTAGATTTTAGTATACATATTATATACTGTTACATGGAGTAACTTCTATCTATACAGATAAATAAGATTAAAGTGTCTGTTTTTTAAAAAATTGTCTATCTGTCTGTTTGTTCAACAAAAACACAACTTTTAAAATTTTTGTCTGTCTGTCTGTTTGTTTGTTCCGGCTAATCTCCGAAACGGCTAGGCCAATTTTGACGGGACTTTTACTCGCAGGTAGTTGATGTTATATTTCAGTAAAAGCAATAGATAGAGCTTGTAGCAGTATATGAAGCCATCCCCCCCAACGCGCGTTCACCTTGTCGTGATGGGGGAGCTCAGTAGTGCCCGGCAACCCAACCGGGCGCGAAGCCAAGAAACGCACAGGGAGGTGGCCCACTTCGGTGGGCGGTGGGAGGTGGCCCTCTTCAGAGGGCAGTATACCATGCGGGTTGCTCCTGGTACTTTTCTGATAGCAGAGTGGACTGTGGAGCAACCCCGTGGTTGTTGTGGTCTGCTTCGGCATTCATCATATATATATTTATATATATATATATATATATCATATATATATATATATATTATATATATATGATCATATATATATATATATATATATATATATATATAAGTATCATATATATATATATATATATATATATATATATATATATATATATATATATATATATATATGATCCCTATATAATTTCACATCGCTTGAGAAAACAATTGGAAATTCTACACAAATTTTAATGTGACTTGTATGTACTAAATTAAAACCTGCAATGCAATCTATATGAATATTATAAAGAAGATAGATTTTTTGTTTGTTTGTTTATTTGTACCGAATAGGCTCCGAAAGTACTGAACCGATTTGGATGAAATTTGGTTACAAGAAAGTCTGATGCCCTAGGAAGGACATAGCATAGTTTTTACCTTGGAAATTATCCCTTAAGAGGATGAAAATGGAGATAAAAGTTTGTACGGGGAAGCAACCGAGTTATGAATATATTTATAACGAAGCCATGAAAATCAGCTAGTATTCATTCTATTTAATTTCCGTTACAAAGTGACATCTATCTATATTGTATTTCTGTTTTTTTTTGTATCGATTTAATTTTAGATGCTATGAAGCAATTTTCTGTATTCGCACGAAAAAAAGTCATAAATCACAAACGCGTGATATATTTGTTACAAAAAGACCAAAATTAATAAATAACGATTTGGAAATTGAACAATATTTAGGAACTTTTATTGTAATAGCTTAATCTATTTGTAAACGTGGCTTCTCATAACATATACCTATCATTATGACTGGGGGAAAAAAAGTTAAATTTGATTGGGTATATTTATGTTTGCGTGTGAAGGATTTATTAAGGAACTTGCGACAACCCATTGCTTGGCTCGGGTGCGTACCTAAGTACGAGTACGTTTTAATTTTTTTGAGCGAAAGCCTAATTCTTTTTCTAAAAAACGTAACCTAAGTTACTCCTCATAACATCAGCTATCTGCCAGTGAAAGTTCCGTCGAAATCGGTTCAGCCGTTTCGAAGATTAGCCGAAACAAACAGACACAAAAATTTTAAAAATTGTGTTTTTCTTATAATTATCGATATAATTTCATATGTAAAAAGTAAAAAGCTTTTATTTTGACATTACAAACTTTAATTTTTTAATCTGTATTGATTAATGAACTGATTTAAAAAAATCTTTACCTTATAGAGAGCTACACTATACTTATATATTTAGTATTTGTGCACCCCTGAGTAAAATGTTGAGTTAAGTTGCAGGCAAAGCTAAATATAGTATAAAGGTGATGTTTTTGTATGTTGAGGACTCCAATCTCAGGAACGACTAATTTGATAAAATCCTTTATCCATTAAAAAGCTCAAAAAAGAAACTTATTATGGTATAACATCACGCTACACTCTACACCCCTAAGGGTTATTAATGTTTCTATGTGAAGTTAGGGCAACAACAATTTCTACGAGCGAGACGGGTGTGGGATATTGAAAACGCGCCTAGGTTATAAAGAGG